TATATATATATATATATATATATATATATATATATATATACATATATATATATATATATATATATATATAAAGTAGAAACTATATTTTAAGATTTTTAGCCTGGGTTTGTGTTGACAGAGACAAAAGGAAGAAGAACTGTTTCTACTGTGACCTATCAGCAGAGGGAGGTGTTTCAATCTTTTAGTGAAAAATAACTAGGAACACAGTAGAAGCTCTGCAGCTTCGGTCTGCTTAATAAAACCAACCCAGAGGGCAGTTATTCAAGTTAAAGTCTGAGAGAGCAATTATTGTTTATTACCTGCTGGGCCATACGCTCGTTCTGACGTGATTCAACCCCCACAGGTGCAGATATGTTGTATTATTATAATATTTAACCAGAATAAAACCTATCACTTCATGCAGTCTATAAGGCTTGCAATGATTTCACTACTGAGTTATTTGGTTGTTGTAATGGACTAACTATCTGATTGTTTCATTTTCTCAGAATCTCAGTATCCACCATCATTTGCTGAAGCCCAAAGCGTTTCCAAATCAGGATGGGGAGAGAAGGCAGGGCAGGAACAGAAGGAGGAAGTGGGGCACAGAATAAAGAAAATAATAATAACAACAACAAAAACAATGCATGGTGTAATTTTGTCAAACACAATGCTGGTGCTCTGAACCCACAGTGCAGAAAAGAAAATCACATGTGTATAAACACAGAAACAAACCATCAGTCAGACTGACGGTGCTAAAGGCCGACAGTAAAATAAACAGGAGAAAACTGCAGAGATGCAAAGACACGTGGGAAGACGTACGCACAGATACAACAAATTGGGAAGCCAATACACTGTAACCAGTAACATGCATGGGCACCAGGTAGATTTTGTTACGAGTCTTTCTGCTGTTTAAATCCATTTATTTGTATTTAGTTAGACAACAAGAAGTTAGAGCTAGTTATGTGTCAGTCATTAGTGCATAAGTTAATGAAAGACATGGATTTAGGTGTTTAAAAGGGTTTGATGTGGCCAGAATATGCATCATAGGACTCAACTCAACTTTATTCTGCTTATCTTTCCAGTGTAATTAGGATCCCCTCAATATGTGTGGGATCAGCTGCTTATCATTGGACACCAACACAAACTGGACCAAAAACTTATCGATGTCTGCAGGTGGGTTACTGTGCAAAACGAGCTCCAAGCATATCACTATCACAATTATGGAAGAGTTTGTCCTCTCAATTTGTAAACCCAGACTCATGCAGTAAGCGCAGACTGTGTGTTTTGTAATTGAGCTGAGCCACACTGTGCAAGGGGAAAATGTGCATGGGAAAAAATGTGGATGTACACGTGTGATACCTCTTCCTTGGCCAAGTATGTGGCACACTGCACACGATAGAAGAGAACATCAGAGCAGTGACGAAGGAGAAGAGGACCAGGTAGATGAGACCCTCCACTCCGTCATAGCACAGCCCAGTCAATGCTTGGACGTAGTCCTTCCAAAGAGCAGAGGCGAGACATCAGGCCGGACTTACAACCATTACACTCTTATGAAAAGAAAACACAAAGTGACTCACCATGTGTAGGCTGCGGCAATCAACGAGAGCTGTCAGCTGGTGAAGACCAACCTCAGTGGAGTTCAACACAGACTGGATTTGCTCAAGACTCTCCTGCGCACAAAAAACAACAGTACATGTGCACTCAAACGTGACAGATATCTTCCTTCATGAACATGTAAACACACAACATAAATATACAAGTGGCCATTTTAAAAGTTAATATCATTTGGAAACAGATTCAAATTCATTCATCTGCTTAAAAAAAACATAATGTCTGGACAATAAGCTTTACAGATACACAATATTTTATAAACTGCTCTAACACACTGTCAAGATGTTATATTCAACCGTATAATTTATAAAATACTCCACTGCAATGACGGCATAATAATATTAATTTTTATTTGCATGTAGAACCAAACAGATGCACTCGAAAGCTGGTCAGTCTAACTTTTGAGGCCTGCCGTCGTTTTGAAAGCTTTAACGAGACAAAGCACCAAACAAACAGACTGAGAAACTAAACACATAGTGAACTAAACACAGACCGTGAAAAACTGAGATAAATCGAACTGGATGGTTATTACGATAGCCATTTAATAAATATTACATAGAAAAAGTTGCAATATATTGAGTATAATGGAGACGTTGCCACACACACACACACACACACACACACCTTGGCACTGGCATAGTCACGTGTTGCTGATCTCAGTAGCTCTGCCACATCATCCTGCATCTCCACCAATGCTTTGTGACTCCCTGACAGCCTCTACAAAACAAATGTTCAAAAGACGCTCACAAACGTATATCGTTAGAATTTGTTTTAATGTATTATTCTTCAGAATTCTCTAAAAAGAAGATTTCCATGAACTGACACAAGACCATTTGTGTGGTTTAATAAAAACAATTCTGAGCGACATAAATACCTGCTGAAAGGGATTGACTTGTCCAGAGCTGCACCTCAGGTAATACTGCAGGATATCTAGCAAAATATAAATAAATATGTACCATAATATTAGAGACCTTTGGAAAATGAATTGTGTCTTTATGTTTGTGTTATGACTGCAACACAACATGTTGCTCTGCAGTGGGGCAGACGGCAGGACTTAAAAGACGAGTGAAAAGAGGACAGTGGCAGAGGAAGAGAGGAAACAAGCCATGTAAAGAGGGGGAGACGACAACAAATCAATTCAGAATCCCAGCGTAAAACAAAAAAACAGTGAGAATGTGTTCTGTAATGCCAGTGAGACGAGCGGGAGGAAGAGTGAGCTGATACATTGCAGCCAGCAGAGAGAGACAGAAAGAGCTTTCAGATACCCGACTGTCAAACACAATCCTGCTGGATATATGCATGCCTGCACACAACAAGGTGCGCACACTTGTTTCTTAAAATGCTGCTGGTGGAGATTTAACTGTCAGAGTGACTCAAGTCTAGTCTGCATGTCTTTATTTATTTGTCAACCAACAGTGTCCACATATGAAGGCCACAATATAAAAATTCCACCCAAAACTGCACAATAATGTTCATAGTTTATAAAAAATGAAAGGTCTTCTAAAGGCACAAGAACATCAGATGTAAAAAAAAAAAAATTAAGCACACAAAATAATCTTCACTGTATTGTCAAATCTACTGTATAGTGTTTTGTCTGCACACCTTGGTTGATGACAGCGTTTTCTTTGGTTGCGCTGGTGATGTAAGTATCCGGGGAAACACAGAAGTCGCTGGCAGACTGTAAGAGAACGAGAACACAGAAGTTGCACTCAGCACACACGCACACTCCACCACTGGGTAGAGATTACATCACTGCAGAGCCCAAGAGCTCAGCAGTGTTGCCATGGTTACACTTACAGCAGCGACAGCCAGTTCCAGGCCCAGAGAACCCCAACTGATTATCAGAGTCAAAACGCCGAGCAGACACACGCTGAAGGAGGGGGAAACAAATATTTTATAAAAATCAAGGTCCAGCTTGCTTATTTGACATGCATGTGACAGTTTGAGCTCATCATGTTTAGAGTTAGCCAGGGCTTCATCTGTCCAATAGGAGCAGATTTTGAAGTATGATGCAGCATGACGTACCCAATCAGAGTGCCCCGAGAGTTTCGTATGAGACCAAAGAGCACCAGAAGACAAATGAGGACATCAAACAGCAGCAGGCTGAGATACCCCAACCATCTATAAATACAAAAATCATAGAGTTATGCAAATAAATTGAGGATAAACTAGAATCAAATTTAACACAAAGCCAAAATAAAAACCTGCATCCACCAGGAGTAGGCAGTGTTTAAGGAGTAAAGCTGATTATTATTAAATATTGTACATAACAATCAGATTCCTCTTTCATTTTTACTCAAGACTTTGGAACCAGAATCATTTCAAGCAACAAGTACTTCTACTGCAGGATGGATTTTTTTTCTTCCTCACCTGTAAAAATCAAACGCCTCTGTTTTTTGGGCCAAGTCTTCCAGGGAGATATCGGTGTTGGACCAGAAGGGAACATCGACCATCAGTCTCACCAGCTCATCCAGTTGTCCCTGCAGCTTTTGGACGATGGCCACAAAGTCTGTCTGTTCCTGGAAGGTGGTCTCTAACTGGACCAAGCTCTCCTCCACAGTCTGGTTTAAGGCTTGGGCGTTGTCCGACACCTGGAGACGAAACACAAAAAGCTCTGTAGTGTTTCTGTGTTCATCTTTAAGAGCAAATGCTAGGCAGTCCAGTTGACAGCTCACCAGTTTCTCCACCCCAGATATAGTGCGGTTGGCATGACGAAGGGAGTATGCCAGTCGATTGGCTCCATCGCTGGACTCCCCGTTTCCGTAGAATCCTACAGCAATGCCAGCGCTGATGGTGGTGGTGGTGGTGGGTGGGGGGGGGGGGGGACAAAAAACAGGGAATGTCAAACTGAGGTGCCAACAGGTTTCTTCTTTTGTTCAAGGATTTAAATCAAACGTGAGCATAGGCACAACAAAACCAAAGCGCAGACGACGGCACAGTTTGGTGCAGTTCATAAGGTAACCAGCAACTGGCAGCACCGAGGTCTCAGATTTAGGCTTTGGTGTCACCCTAAAGCCTCAGGCGAACACAGGGCTACCAGGAACGATTCTCACACCAAGTCTGCATAATAACTGGGTCACCAAACTGCAAATAACGTGAGCCCTCTGTGGCGCTGTGCTCACATTCACACGTGCATGCTACAATATTTGGGGTTCCTCACACAAACACCCTTTCTCAAAAACGCAAGCACTGCCTGATTATGTTCACAAAATAATAAACCCCTTAAACACAACATAAATTATTATTACCATTCAGTTTATCCCAATTATACTTTTACAGTCTCCAGCACTGTGTAAAAGCTTGTGCTCCCCCCACCATCCCCTTTGTGTGCTGTAAGTACACATGTATGTACTGTACACCCTGTACTGCTGCTGCTGTCTACGTGCACTACAGGATCTGTAGAAAGAAATTTATGGCCATTGTTAAGTCACTTCATTCTAGCTCATTAGGTCTTTAATAGCCCTACATTCCATCTGTCTTTACGATGTATGTGTGTGAGTGTGTAGAAGCTTTATGATGCACATCAAAGGATGTGCTTCGTATGTTGATGTACACGTCATGTTTCTCTATCCATCCCTGCCTCCCACCACCTCACTGCATCCTCCACATAATCTTACTTTAAACGATAAATCATTTTTCAATTATTACCTTCTTACATGCATTTTCTGTCCCATCCCTTTCTCCTTCCATGAATCTTATCTTGTATCACTTGCTCACCTTGTCTGGGGAGCTTTTTTAGCTAAAGCAGCTTAGGATATAGGACCAATATTGAATGCATAAATTAAGCAATCTACAGCAAACTGGCCACCTTAGTTTAAAGGGGAATGTAAAAGGGAAAAAACGACCACAAAAACACACTCAATACTGACACATACGTGCTTTTGAGCGACTCCAACAATGTTACTATCTTTGTACAAAGGTTTTCTGGTGTTTTATTGTTCTGTATTTTCCCTTTGTTCTGATTTTCATGTTATTGCATCCACACCAGACGATATGAGACACAGCCTCATCTGTTGTCGATACTTCACACAAATGAAGGAAGTCCACATGTTGTCCGCACCGAGTCAGAAATAGAACATGATGTCATGTTAAACTGTGGACAAAGCATCAAGTGCACGTGCATAACAGCACATCCAAAACCATGTAAAAAATGCTCTGATCCGAATGAAATATTCAGCAGGAAGAATAATATTACTAATCATAAAATGTTAAAAACCTACAAAAAACTCTTTGGCCTGGAGTGACGCTAACTCACACACACACACACACACATACACACACACACATAGGCGCCTTCCCATAACTGTATAATTCATTTCTCCTGTCTGTATCAAATTTGCTTCTGTCTCCATGGCAACCTTTCTGGGCCAGGAAGAAGGACCAAGTGAGAGAAATAATAAATAAAGGCAGCGTGCTGAAAGAGATGAAGAAGCGGGAAGGGAAGGAGAGAACGCTAAAGACAAGTTGAAGTTTGATTAAGGCATTTAAAAGAGAAAAACTTTGTGTGCCTGTTAAAGGGTCTGGGTTTGTGTGTGTGTGTGTGTCTGTGTGTGTGCACCTTTGTGTACCGAGCAGAGCATACAGGTCAGCATCTGTGGTGCAAACACACACTGTCCTGCTGCTCGGTCACTTGGGTGAAGAAGCTCAGAGCGTGCACGCAGAGTCAGACAAACACAGACAGCGGAGTGGAACCATCTGGCTCTCCCACAGTTAACCCACGTAGACGTTCAGACTTTCAAATGAAACCGTTTGCATTCATCACAAACATATACAGCTGTTCCCAAGTGATAATCTCTAGATGCTGCAAATCTTTGTCAGAACCCTTTCAAAAAGAGATTTTACATCTCAAAGAGTTTGGTTTACTGACGAAAAATAAAGGCCTCGAATGCGTTTTTGTGAGATCTCAGCGAAGGGTTGAAGGTCTCAACTAAAACCATATCAGAATTAGTGCGATATTTGTAAATGTGACAGTTATTAAAAATATTATTTAATATAAATATGTTTTGTGTGTGTTGGCTAATGTTCATTAGCTTTGGTGTCCATCTTGAATTTGACTGACTCAAAAGTTAATCAGTTGTAGAGGTATGTCCAATGATCACTTACTGAGTGTCAGTAAAATCCATTCAGTCATTCATGTGATATTTTGCTAACAACAAATGGGTTACCTGAGCTATCCCTTAGTAGTGCTGCTATAGGCTTAGACTGCTGGAGGACAAACTGACCACATCTCCTCACTCTGCTACTGTCTTTACTTGCTCTACTCTTCCTGTTTGTATTTGTAATTATTTCAATCTTTAACATGTGTCTTTTCTTTCTTCCAGTAGAAAGTACATCTGGACTTGTCAAACTATGTTTGTGTGTCCTTCCTGTCCAAACTCCAGCCGGTTGAAGCAGATGGCCACTCGTGCTGAGCCTGGTTCTGCTGGAGGTTTCTTCCAGTTAAAAAGGAGTTTTTCCTTTCCACCGTTGCCTTTGTGCTTGCTCAAGATGGAAGTGAAGATTCAACACAATCTGCTGGCGTCCAAAGATAGAGAACTTTACTAAATGGCTTTTTTATGTATATGAATGTTTCTGTTCAGTGCCCCGAGACCACTTCTGCTGTGACTTGGCGCGATATAAATAAACTGAATTGAACTGAACATGCCAACAATTTTAAGCAAAAATAGCGTGCAACATGAAGTGTTTGGAGTATGTATGGGGAATGATGCTCAGCTACTACCCTACCAAATATTAGCTCAATTATCTGTAAAAATGACTGAGTTATAGCTATTTATTTTGTTGGCTAATGCCGATTAGTTGTGGTGGCCATTTTGTTTTGGCAGGTGATAATAAACTTTGAATAAATACATTAAAAATATAGTGCACAACTCAAGTCTGCATGCATCAGCAGCTTTTCTGGAAAGAGTTTTCTTTCTCCTCAGTGGTCTGTCTATTTATGAATGCGAGTCTCCAGCTCTTTCATTAAACTCCTTCTGCTGTGTTGAGACATAATTACTGACAAATGATACACAAGAACTTAAATAACAAATCATTTTACAGTCAGCTGTCAGCAATTACAGGCATTTCCTGTATATACAAAAGCTGCACAGAACCAAAGCTGACATTAGCAGAGCACAGAAAGAGCTTTGGCCTTACTGTCAGTGTAAATTACACCAACTACCAGTAGGTTAGATTTTAAAGATTTTTAGGTGAAAGCTGCACATTCCAGTCCATATGGTGCAGGACAAATCCTTCATCAGGAGGTGGATGAGCTGAATCAAGCCTTTTTCACTCAAACATCTCAATTATAACAAATCCTACAGCTGGTGACATGTTTGTAAAGCTAAACGAGGGTTAAACGTACCCAAAAAACAAGTTTTTCTCATCTACTCTTACCTGCAAACGAGCGTGGCGATGATGACACACCAAGCAGTGCAACAGCAGTCGGCACTCGGCTGCTGGGAGTGTGTATGGGAGCGTGAGGACTCGTCACGTTTGCATCTTCGGCAGCAAAGCCAGAAGGAGTAGATGAGGAGGAAAAGGAGGTCCAGGCCCAAGCACACCAAAGCCACAGAGCCAATGAGCAAAACAGACTAGAAAGGAGAAGAAGAAAAAAAAAATTATAAACCACTTTTGAAGTTTTCATGCACCCAGTGTTTTACATTTTTCCATCAAAGGGTTTTGCCTCATTCAGTCAACGTACAAATGAATGACATTCAGCGCTTGTCTAGATCATTGGGAAGTGGACCGTTTAGGATGTGGATAAAGAATACAGGAAGCCAGTTCGCTGATATGAGCAGAAACCAGATACACAGACAGACCTTGTGGTTTAGCAGACAGATGCACATAAAAAACAAGTTCCTCTCTGAAGCGTTGTGAGACAAAACGCATGGTGGTTCATTGGCTGTTTGATGTTTACCGTGACTCGTTAAAGGATATATTATGCTTTATTTGTGCATCATCAAACAGGCACACCTCCATCGAGGGAGTGGAAGTGCTGCCGTTCGGGAGCTGTGTGGAGACCAACACACCCATCACTCAGCCTCCAAAAGCTTTGAAGTGTTACAAAGAGTAGTGAGGGTAGACGTAAAGGGAGGAGGGGATAAATTTGGAACAAAAGAAGATGCGAGGAACAAGATCTGAACGAAGAAAATGTCTGAGCTGAGCACCAAAAGGAGAGAAGTGGGTAAAGACAGACATCAGGGCTGTTGCAGCCATTTGTCTAGAATGGTTCCAGTTCTTTTTCTATGTCTACAGACACACTGACACGTTGAATTACTTTTCCCATCTCAGGCTGTCGTTGTGCTGCAAGACCACGCAGGGAAACGGGAACGTTCCTGAAAAAAATACATCTCCTTCTGCATGACTACTTAGGCCCTGTTTACATGAGAACGACCTCTGGAAACGTTAGTGCTTTTCCAGTGTTTATTGGAAGGAATTAACAAAAAAGGGCAGGTTTACACAGATACAATGACGTTCCCATGCCAGGCAGGGTTGCCAGATAAGAAATGATAAACTATTGTACTGAAGCTGTCTCGTTATTGTATATGTGCTGAGTGAGGGTGTTATAAGAAGAAGTGTGTGTTGTGTACAGAAAAAGGAGGGTGGTAAAAAATGTATTCATATTTATCTGGCAACCCTGATGTCAGGCTTAGCTTCATTTATTGCTCATGCAGTGTCTGCAGGATCACAGTTACATCCAAACTGGTGAATACAGGAACATCCCTTACGACGTCACACTCGTGGAGTATTTGAAACCTCTGTTGGGGTTTACCAGAAAATATCTTAACTCTAAAACCAGGATTCAAAACCTTCAGTTTCATAGAGAAAGGGGACTATTGTGACAAAAAACAAACGACCAGTCCGCAGCAGAAAAGCTTCAGTTTCAATCAAAAACTGTGTCAGGTAAACAGGGACTTACAGTACACAAATAATCTGAGAACTTTGGACAATAACACAATCTGACTACATTTTCTAGATCTACACAGATTTATGTTTATGTCAGTTTAATAAATGTAATGATTTTTGAAGTTAAATAAAGTGGATTCCATAAGATTCCTGCCCACAGGAACAATGTGCTGGTGTTCGGCAGGTACAATGTTCACCATTTACACAGACCTATGTTGTTAGCATTTGCAAATGGCAATGGTTTCAGTGTTTTTATTTGAGATTTTATATAATTCATAATAATGTGTTGTACAATTGATATTGTAACTCAAATCCATCAGGGTTTTGTACAAATTGTGTTAAAAAAAACAACAAATACTTCTCACCTTTGTTTAAATCTAAAAATTACAATAAGTTATATAAGTTACAGAAATTGTTCCATTGGAGTTCAGCCTCCGACTCAGTTTACATCCAAGAATTTAATACCGACTCGATATCTGTTGCACACCGAGACTGTCTGAAGTGCTTTATAAATAAAGTTGTATAAGTGTACTCGTCAATGTTCGAACGTTAACAAATGACTTGTATTTGTTGTCAACAAAACATAAAGATTTTTGACACAGAACGCAGCAAAAATGGTCAAAAAAATCTCAGAATGAGATGTAACCTATAACAAAATCCATTTGAATTCTGCACACGCTTCTTTATTGTGTGACTTTATCCTGAAACAAACTAAATGTTCTTTTTGAACAGGTTCTAAATGTCCAGAGGACAGCAGGAAATAATCTTTATTTCACATTCCGAGTCTCTTGTGTTATATCATTCGTTAGATTAGTAAAGGAGAACTTGTGCTTTGATAAACCACAACAACAAAAAAAACACTACAAGAATTTATTGTGTTTTTCACAGGACACAATGTGTCCACATGTGATCACATGGGCATGATGAAAATGTTCCAGAATCACATGGACAAAAGATGTGTTTCATGTTAATTTAACATGCTTTCACAGGTTAAACTGATGTTATTTTTTCTGTAGTCAAACTATACACAACACTAATGCACTGCAGGGCCTCTTGCTCCTCTAAAATCAGTTGGCGTTTAGCGGAGTTAAAAGTATCACATTCAATAAAGTTGTCATGGCATTAGTTGACAAAGTCTAGTAAATGACATGATGTGACCTGTCAATCAATCCAGTAGGCTCGTCAGCAACTGACCAAATGACGATCGCAATTTCTCCCTAAGTGCAACGCGTCTTACCTGCAAGAGCTGCACCCCCTTTTCCTCTGACAACACTGTGAGGATTTTGCATTATGAACACTTTGCAGTCATAGGGATTTTGTGAAAAATCATCAGACAAAACGGTTAAACATTGTCATTGTGGAACATGCAATTCACACACGTGTTACCCTGAGTGTTTAGAGGGTGTAATAAAGTTCATTCCATTTCCAAAACCTAAACAGAGTCTGGAAAAATGTAAAAAATAGATAAAGGCCTGTGGCCGACCTTATGAGCAGCTGAATACAACAGTGATAAACAGGAAGTACCACATGTTCATCTGTACGAAGGTAACTGCAGGTAAATCCTCCATTTTGGGTCATAATTGCACTGCATGCTTAATGTTTCAATGAAAGCTGTCATGATAACACATTTTGCTGGGCAATTAATTGTCTCAGAAATTATTGCGATAAATGATAATATTGTTTAAAATTTGACAATAATTAGTAATTGTCAAATTTAAGAAGAAATCTTGGTTAATTTTTGTCTGTAGTACCTTTTTTGACCACTGGATGGCAGTATAAGACCGTTTGAATCGAAGTATGGATAGTGAGGGAGCGAGCAGCGTCTCTTTAAGAAAAATGGGAGGGAGGCACCTTGACGTGACATGGGCTGTCTCTCTTTGTTTTTTGGTTCTAAAAATGGCAGACGCTCAGTGTGGTTTGAGCTCTTTAGCATAGCATTTGTTACACAAAGCTTTTAGTTTGAAAATAATCAGTAAACAAGGTCACAGCTTGTTTACAGGTTTCAACCGTAAATTTTGGAGCTTTGACAAGACAGAGGTTTTTTCCCAAGGTCAGCCTGTTAGCTTAGCTTCTTAGCTTAGATGCTTTTTAGTTTTAATTATCCAAAAACGTGATTTTGGATGGTTAAAACGGATTTTAAAGAGAAAAGAGAAAGGGAGGAGTCAGTGGGTACGTTTACATGGACATAAGTAACCGGATCAAAGGGCCGGTCGGAATAAAAGTGTGTCATGTAAACACTCCGTTCGGGTTATTTTTTGTGTATTCGGCGCGATCCGTTATAATTTGTGATCAGAACGAAACGGGTGGCTTACGCCGATCCGAAACCCGATCGGTGCGCATGTAAACGCTTGATCTGTTCGTTTTTATCTGATGGTGAAAAACTGACCTGACTGCGCATGTGCGACTTTGCCATTTCCGCCTGGCTAACGCTAATAATATTAGCATGCCAAGGAAGTAAAACTGGTCGGTGAGCGACACAACATTTCTACTAGAAACTTTTAAAGAGCTCAAAATGATTTCTATTACCTGTAGCTCAGTCAGGGAGTGCAATAACGTCTCCACCATCATTAAAACCTGTCGCGGGTCCATTTTGGGTGCTCAGGTTTGTTTACGGTCACCCGGAAGTAGAACTTCTTCTTCTGTGTTTTTTTAAGGAGAGTTTACCACTCTGCGCATGTCAGTGCTGCTGTTCAGAACAAAGCCCGCTGCATGTAAACGCTCATCATGAACAGACTGTGCCCATGTAAACAATACATTTAAATTATTCAAACAGAACACATTTCAATCCGGTCAAAGAATTCTGCGCATGTAAACATAGCTACTGAAGAGTGCCGGAGTTTAACCTTTTGTCATCCAGTGTCTTCAGTAGAAAGAGACACAAAGAAACGATAAAGCCGATAAATGAAAATGAATGAGGCTGATAATTTTCATTTAACATGCGATTCATTCATTCATTCAACCTTTATTTAGACAGGTAAATCCCATTGAGCCTCGAGGACTCATTTACAAGAGAGACCTGATTAAATGAATTGATTTATTGTTTCTTTTGTTTAAAACATATGGCTAAAACTACATTTGATACCTTTTGCACTGTTTTGCACTACAAGAAAGAAGCCTAATACTTGATTTGTTTTTTATTTAAAAACTCTCTGAACCTAATGGAATTTTCTTTATTGAGATTATTTTGTTGTGTAGCAGTATTCAAAATAAATGCAGGCAAAATGACACCCTATGCTTGTTTTTCATTCCTATTGCAAGTTTTATACTAAAAACATATTATGATATATATCGTTACCGCCACCCATCACAATAGATATTGGGATATGAATTTTATGCCATATCGCACATCCCTACTTAATACATACTAAATTTCACTGTAAGGCCAAAATGCCTCATCACATGCATCAAGTAACACAATGAGCTTCCCTACCTCAGCCATTATAGTCATCGTGTTTGTATGTCGGAGTTTACCTCATCCTGGATTACATTTTTGCATGGGCAGAGCAATATACCATGAGCATCATGTCAATTGAGTTTTAGTCCCTAACTAAACCTGGACTACTGTGGTCTTTGCCACAAGCATTATGTTAGGTACAACCCCAGTCATGAGCAGCTCTCCACAGCAACCTCACCTTCCTCTTGCCTCTAGATTAACCATCAGGCTAAAAATACAGATTACCAGTAG